TTTTGAGTCTAACTTTAAGAAAGTCCATTCAAATTCCCATCCATGTTCAATTCCGCCCAATAAAACTACGGATATAGGTACCTTGAATGTGGGAAAAACTGCAAAAACTTATTTTGACAAATTCGCGTATATAATCGCGTTTTTCTTCGAATTGATTTCACATAAATTCATTCTTGTGTTATCATATTCGCGAATCTATGTGAAAATAGGTAAAAAATATATCGATACGCGAATAATACGCGTATTTTATCCAAAATCGATTGTGGAGGCACATTCGCGGTTCTTAACCGATCCTTTTAAATTAGGTGTCCTTTTGTGTATTTTCATAGGAGATTACTAAAATCTGATGCGCATAAAAATCGTATGCACGTTGCGTCATTTTTAGACTTTTTTAGGGTTTTTGCATAGTAAAGTGCATCGAGCGGCACACTTTGACCGCTAAATTAAACATCGAAAAATTCATAATTATTGAAAGACATTGATTCGGTTTATACGAATTGCATGATTTTAAATATTGACAATTTTTATGTATTGTAACAGCAATATATTTAGTCATTTTTATATTCGAAACTGTTATCAGATGAATATACCGATATTTAACAATCATCTAAAAGAATTTGAAGAAAAAAGCGTCGCATATTTTAGAAGATTAAGGCAAAACCGTATTCCCTTAACCACACTAAAAAAATCGAAAATTCAAAAAACATTTCGATTTAATTAAAAAATTAATTTATTTTATTTTCAGATATCTTCGTACTTCTATTTGTTTTTCGCGACAATTTAACCGTAATTCAATGTGATTTGAAAAGAACACAAATGTGTTTATCCATTTGTGAAGAAATTCGCGAATTACAACAAATAGGAATTAATTTAATTTATATTTGAAATACAATATTTAAAATCGCTATAACTTTTGTGCGCAGCATCCGAATTTGTGAACGCGAACATATTTCGTATCAGCATATTTTTCTTAACCCATGTACCAAAAATCATGAATGTGCTCGCAAAAAAATTTTCAAATTTTGTTTTATGGAATTTTAAAAGAATTTTGTAATTTCCCATATTTAGTTTGAAAGTATAAGTTATGCTATGTGAAGCAATTTGCATGGTATGTATAGGTTGTGAAAATTTTCTCAAATAAAACACAGTAAGATATGGTAAAGTAAAGATTAAGCGGTTCCATTATGTGGAGCCTATACCAAAAACTATACCGGAAATTATGATAGAAGTTAAATGGATATTTTTTTACTACTTCCCAAGTACTTAAAATCGGATAATGATGCTTTAAAACGCACAGTAATGGAAAAAATAGTTTTGAACTTATAAATACAACACATATCCCATGTGATATATGGGCCACTGACCAAAACTTGATCGCATCCTTAATAGAAAACAACACCAGGAATATTTTTGAGAAAATTGTCAATACATATGTTAGTAATTCGCTATATACGATTACAAATACGTCAACAAAATACGAAGGTATTACTGAACATTTTCTTATATTCCGGAAGAATACATTTAAATTCGAATCTACATGGAGGCAATTCTGCATTACATGCTGTTTGTGTCTAACTTATATGTGTCTTTATGGTTCCTCAATGTATTTTTAAAGATGTGAAAAATATTTGCATGGTGTATTGACTGGACCGACATCACTCAGGTTTTCCTTCGGCTGTTTGTAATTGCACTGGGTAGGTTTTTAGGAAGAAAATGTTGAGAAAGACATCAAAAGTCGGGAAATTTGAATAATCGAACGTTGTGTTAGTTAAGTCGTTTATAACTCAAGAACGTCAGCACCGATTCAAATGACTTATAAATTGTATTTGGTCAGAATAGGAAAATATGAGATTCCGCCCAAACAAATATATTAAGTAATATTAACAATTCCCCAATTTTTGTATCGAGCTTTAATGTTTAAATAAATTGTAGTTTTTTAAGACATATGGTTTCTTGAGTTAGTTAGATCAAAACCTCAAATTTCATAAAATATGTGTATGTTCTAATACTAATAACGCGATCATTAACATCGACGAAAATAATGGTTTTAATGGTCAGATATTTGAAGTTTTGTCTTATTTTCTTCAGAGCTCAAGCTGTTGGACATGAAATCTCATTTTCATATTTGTCAAAAAAGTGTATTATTTTGTTGTTGTCTTTTGTCTGCAGGCAGGTCAAGTTCGAAAATAGGCTTTATCGGTCCACGTTTAGGCATAGCTCCCATATAAGGGGAATTCGCAAAAATTTGCTACATTGGGTTCTTATGTACTAAATGTCTCCACAAAAAATTATGAATATAGGTCCACGTTTTCTGGTAGCCTCCATACAACGGTAACTTCCTTTACTAAACCTATATTGATACAATTTTGATAAGGCAAAACAACGTTTGCCGGGTCATCTAGTTTTTACATTTATCTGGCTATACTTTACTAGAACTGATGAAAAATTCGAAATATTTTTGAGAACAAATTTTTGAAATTTGACTTGGATTTGAGTTAAGCATACGTTATTTTCAAATCGATAAATGGAAACAGCTATTTTGCCAAAAACCTCATGGTTTTCAGAGGGTTTCCGACGTTTCTGACGTATGTATTATACTTCGGAAATGTATGTCATTTACGTCACTGTTTCTGACAGGCCATCTCTGATTATAACAAGGGGATTAAATTAATGGAGCATTTACCTTGATAAAATCTAAACTGGCTGACTTCCAAAATGTTAATTGCTTTGCATTCGAACAATGCATCCTCTTTCATAATGCAACAGTACATAATATTTACATTGCATACTATTTCAAAATGTCGCTACCACGTATTTGCAACGCAGTTAAAAAGCAATCAGGCATCGGTTTTATTGTTGATGCATTGTTTGTTTACGAGCACAAAATGAAATATCCAAATAAAAAAGTTAATGACAGATTCACAAAAGTAATTTTAGTGAAAATATTAATATGTGTAACAAATAAATATATTTTAAACGTTGTCCATTGAAAATATCTTTCCTTTTTTGTAATTATTTGGGCATTATTAAAACACATTTTTCTTTTATTTAACTTTTATAAACACATCGAAGTTTGCCAGGATTTTTTTGACAATCTGATAAAATACAAAAATATTGCCAAATATTTTTTTACTGCCGTTCAGCTGTTTTATGAAATTTGTTTATTTCATAAAACTGCTGATTTGTTAGAGATAAATTGCATCACATTCATTTTATATTGTAAATGTGTGCAAAGTTCCTAGTTGCGATGTTTAGTTACTTTGCATGTGTACGAAGTTTAAATACCGTACTGTTATTGTATGCAAACATTGCAATGATACATTTTGGAAGTCAGCCACTGTTTTTAATGCAGAATGTAGAAATATTTAAAAATCTATTGTTTATATGAATAACAAGCTGACCCGGCAAACGTTGTTTTGCATTATCAAAATTGCAAAAATAAGTTACAGGGTGTCGATAAAATTGGAGAAATGATCGAAGTTGACCGGCATGTTAGCAGTCGCAACATCGCCCAAGAGCTAAAAATCGTCCATAACTGTTTTAAAGCATTTACACAAAAAATTATAATAATGGGATTCTTTTTCCCCAAACTAATATTTAATTTTCTTATTGAAAAATGTATTGTTTCTTTATGTTTCGTTTCTATTTTCAACAAAAGAAAAAAAAAAACAAATCTATGTTCTGACATAATTGAATTTTTTCAACTTTGAAAATTCGTAAGTCGACGATGTCGATGGAGAAGTAATAAATCGGCTTCAGAGTGCTCAGCAGAACGATCTAACACTTCATTAGATCGTTCTCTTTTATATGTCGAAAAAGATGTGCAAAGAAATATAGGAACGACTCTATTAATAGAAAGATAGAGATTCATGAGGAAAATATAAAAACTTAAACTGAGTAAACAATTTTTCCCATCTTATGTTGACTTTCTGGTATTATTATTGAAACTGCCTGATAATAATAAAGCAAATTATATTACACTTTATGATAGAAATTCATTCAATTTAACGTATTTTCATTAATAAATACATGTCGTTGTAGTTCTGTCCGTTCGAATTTCTTTGACTAACTCGCCGTTTTGTGAACATGCTTGATTTGACGAACAATAATAAAACAAAAACTCAACTTCGCATTTTACTTTAGTTACGTCCGTTTGCATATTATGTGGTGATATTTATTGTATTCAATAACTTTGTTGGAGCGAATTTTTCAAATCGAAATTATTACATCCCTACAAAAATTATGTTTGAATTAAGTCGGAATAGGTGTAGAGCCGCTACAATGATTAATAAAAGTAGTTCTATGTGGTACAAAAAGTCACCACCAAATTTTAAAAAGCTGTGTCAAAATATACACAATTGTTTTTGTACTTGAAATTGAAAAACAGTCAAAATGACCGCCTTCGGCAATCTAGTGTTAACAGACCTTGGAATTATATACCTGTAGTAGGATTCTTCAACAGTATCGCCGTTGCCGACAAATATAAATGTTTCGTATTAAAATAAAAAATTATGTTACATTTTTATATGTGTCGGTAGGGCTCAGTGACTACTTTATTTTAGTTGTTAACTTTCCGAATATATGCAAATGAAAATTTGTTGTTATTGATTATCGTCAGTAATTTTGTTGTAACAAAAGTTTACTCAAATAAAAATTCAGAAAATGCCGCGTGTTGGGCATAACAACAAAATTCATTTTTTTCCATAATTACCAGAAAAGAGGAGCTAAAATGGGAAAACTTCAAATCTCATACCTTTTCCAAATACATTGAAATCTACCCTACATGATATATTTGTAATATATTCCTGAAATAATATGAACCCTTCACAGAGAAAAGGTAAGAGATTCATATTTTTGTAGGCGAATAAACAAATCAAGTGCAATGTTCGTTGAGAAATGATGCTTTATATATGCATATGTATGCGTGCATGGAAGAGAAACTACAAAATTATTTTACACTTTTGAGATAACTTATTTTAAATTTAGGCATGGTTTGTAGTTTAACTCTCAACAACAGGATGGAAGCCATTTTCATCGGCGGTGTACGTCACTCTGTGTAGTTTTCCTTCGGGATCTGTAAATTCGTAAGAACCAGTTTTTACAACCGCTTGAACTGGTCCTTCTTCCCCTTGAACATCTTTTAATTCGCCTGCTTCATCCTGCTTTGTTCCATCTGATAGTGAAAACCTGGAACAGAATGAAAAATCAATATAAATATATTTCGATAAAATTGATTTTAGGAAAATTTAAAATGATGTGTCCATATTAATGTCCAGCTCAAAAATCAATTAAGATTTGACGTTCAAAATAATGTAAAAGTTAGATCAACTTGTAAATATGCAAATATGTATTTGATCAAAACAATATAACAATCTCATAGTTCCAAAAATGAACTTTTAAACTTTCAGTTTGAGTTGGTTGTGTAGCGGACGGGGAAAAGAGTCAAGTTACTGTTAACCTAAAGAAAATTTAAAAACTACTTTTATTTCTTGGGTATATTTTCCCTTGTATTTATTTTTGAACATATTTGGAAAAAAATATTTTTATTTCTTACAATGAGTTGGATTGACATTTAATTATTCCACATCTATATTTAATAGACTTTTGTTCAATAGTGTGAACTAAAAATATAGATGTGTATTTAAATCACGAATATTTTTGGTGATTATTTTATACACACTTTTTCCATAGAATCCACGTAAATATTGGACAACTACAGGATAACAATCAGGGTTGGTCCGTGACAAGTTGTAATCGTAGTAACTGTCATTTATTCCAATATTTTCACCATATACAGCTATTTTCAAGAATATATAATATTTTAATATATTTTAATTTGTAGTTCATAGAAATTCATAACATTCCATTTGAAATTCAAAGAATCCCATTTGAAATTCTTAACATTTGATTTGAAATTCGAATAAGAGAATAATTTAAACAATAAAACAACTTTTACATTAGAACTTTATACCAGGATAACCTACATTATGAGGATTTATTTGACATCTATACAATGGAATTGACAATTTAAACCCATTGGGTTCGGGTAGCAATATTTAAATATATACACATAATTTGCCAAAAAAATTTATATTTAATATACATACAGTGCTGCCCAAAACATTTGCAACCAACTCATCTGCGGGACAAAAACACTAATTTTATTGAAATAAAAATTTTTGAAACCAAGTTTTAAATGCTAAAATATTCTTTTTTTCAGTCGTTTTTATACTTATACCCTCCACCATAGTATGGAGGGTATATTAGTTTTGTTTTTCCGTTTGTAACACATCGAAATAATCATTTCCGACCCTATAAAGTATATATATTCTTGATTAGCGTAAAATTCTATGACGATCTAAGCATGTCCGTCTGTCCGTCTGTCTGTTGTAATCACTCTAGCGTCTAAACGAATTGAGATAGAGCCCCAAAATTTTGCATAGAGTCGTCTTTTGTCTGCAGGCAGGTCAAGTTCGATGATGGGCTATATCGGTCCACGTTTAGGCATAGCTCCCATATAAGGGTACCTCCCATTTTTCGGTATTTTGAAGTTCTTAAGCGTGTTTTTCAACCGAATTCGCTGAAATTTGGTACATTGGGTTCTTATTGGGTACTAAATGCCTCCACAAAAAATTATTAGTGTAGGTCCACTTTTTCTGGTAGCCCCCATATAACGGTACCTCCTAATTTTCGGTATTTTGAGGTTCTTGAGCGCGTTTTTCAACCGAATTCTCTGAAATTTGGTACATTGGGTTCTTATTGGGTACCAAATGTCCCTACTAAAAATTATATATAGGTCCACTTTTTCTGGTAGCCCCCATATAAGGGTACCTCCCCATATTCAGTTTTTGGGGGGTTCTGACCGTATTTTTTCACCGAATTGGCTGAAATTCGGTACTTTGAGTGCTTATTGCATAGCAAATCTTTGTACTAAAAATTATAAATATAGGTCAATTTTTTCGGGTAGCCCCCATATAAGGATACCCCCAAATATTCGGTATTTTAGGGATCTTGAGCGCGGTTTTCAACCGAATTCGCTGAAATTTGGTACATGGGGTTCTTTTTGGGTACCAAATTTCCCCTCTAAAAATTATAAATATAGGTCCACTTTTTCTGGTAGCCCCCATATGAGGGTACCTCCCAATTTCCAGTTTTTGGGGGGTTTTGACCGCATTTTTTCACCTAATTGACTGTAAATTAGTAATTTGAGTTCTTATTGGGTAGCAAATCTCTTCACAAAAAATTATAAATATAGGTCAATTTTTTCGGGTAGCCCCCATATAAGGGTACCCCCAATTTTCGATATTTTGAGGTTCTTGAGCGCGTTTTCCAACCGAATTCGCTGAAATTTGGTAATTTGTAGTCGTATATGGTAACAAATCTCCCCACCAAAAATTATTAATATTCACCGCTTTTTAGGGGTAGTCCCCATATAACCCCCTTTTTATACCCTCCACCATAGTATGGAGGGTATATTAGTTTTGTTTTTCCGTTTGTAACGCATCGAAATAATCATTTCCGACCCTATAAAGTATATATATTCTTGATTAGCGTAAAATTCTATGACGATCTAAGCATGTCCGTCTGTCCGTCTGTCTGTTGTAATCACTCTAGCGTCTAAACGAATTGAGATAGAGCCCCAAAATTTTGCATAGAGTCGTCTTTTGTCTGCAGGCAGGTCAAGTTCGATGATGGGCTATATCGGTCCACGTTTAGGCATAGCTCCCATATAAGGGTACCTCCCATTTTTCGGTATTTTGAAGTTCTTAAGCGTGTTTTTCAACCGAATTCGCTGAAATTTGGTACATTGGGTTCTTATTGGGTACTAAATGCCTCCACAAAAAATTATTAGTGTAGGTCCACTTTTTCTGGTAGCCCCCATATAACGGTACCTCCTAATTTTCGGTATTTTGAGGTTCTTGAGCGCGTTTTTCAACCGAATTCTCTGAAATTTGGTACATTGGGTTCTTATTGGGTACCAAATGTCCCTACTAAAAATTATATATAGGTCCACTTTTTCTGGTAGCCCCCATATAAGGGTACCTCCCCATATTCAGTTTTTGGGGGGTTCTGACCGTATTTTTTCACCGAATTGGCTGAAATTCGGTACTTTGAGTTCTTATTGCATAGCAAATCTTTGTACTAAAAATTATAAATATAGGTCAATTTTTTCGGGTAGCCCCCATATAAGGATACCCCCAAATATTCGGTATTTTAGGGATCTTGAGCGCGGTTTTCAACCGAATTCGCTGAAATTTGGTACATGGGGTTCTTTTTGGGTACCAAATTTCCCCTCTAAAAATTATAAATATAGGTCCACTTTTTCTGGTAGCCCCCATATGAGGGTACCTCCCAATTTCCAGTTTTTGGGGGGTTTTGACCGCATTTTTTCACCTAATTGACTGTAAATTAGTAATTTGAGTTCTCATTGGGTAGCAAATCTCTTCACAAAAAATTATAAATATAGGTCAATTTTTTCGGGTAGCCCCCATATAAGGGTACCCCCAATTTTCGATATTTTGAGGTTCTTGAGCGCGTTTTCCAACCGAATTCGCTGAAATTTGGTAATTTGTAGTCGTATATGGTAACAAATCTCCCCACCAAAAATTATTAATATTCACCGCTTTTTAGGGGTAGTCCCCATATAACCCCCTTTTTTATATTAAAATAGTTTACTGATTTGTTCCGTGTGTTGCGGTTGGTTAGTCGTTGCGGGGAATAGTCAATTTTTACCCTACAAAGACTATTTAGCCATCTGTTGTAAGCATTCCGCCTTCTAAAGATATTGTGATAAAAAAACCTCAAACATGATGATAATGAAATATATCGGCAGACATTTAGGCATATCCTCAATATCGTGATACCTCCTGAAGGAAAGAATTGAGATAAACAATTAAAATATTTGGTTCAAAATTGGTATATACCGGTCATTAATTAGGCATAGCCCTCATATGATGATATCCCCAAATATTCACTATTTCCTACCCTATGTAATCAATATTGGTCCCTCTTTAGGCATAGCCTCATATAACTTTGTAATCTAAATTACAGTAGTTTGAGGATTTCATACTCTACAATGCGTTATAAATATCAGTCCACTTTTTGGATCATACAGATTTTAGGAAAAATCCCCATTAAAATTGCCGAAGTTTGTATTTAATGTACATAATGGTTTACATAAATCGGTATTATCGGTATGTGCCCACTTTTTGGTATGTTCCCTATATTTTCATTGCATGTATCTGTCAGTATAACTATGGTGGAGGGTATCCAAAGTTCGGCCCGGCCGAACTTAACGCTTTTTCACTTGTTTTTAACTTAGTTGGTGGTCAAAAATAGGCGATATTCCAAAAAAAAAAAAAACTTTCAAAATTCAGCCATTTTGTTAATTGTTGTGCGAAGTGAATTATCGTATGAAAAATATTATATTTCCATAAAATTTTATGATTTCATTACTTTGTAGTTATTTTTGGATATAATTGGGGCGAAATTTGGTAGAATATCTCATCTTTAAGTTTACATTTATCAATTATGGTAACTTCTCAAAATAATTTATATTCAACAATCAATTGGAATGTCATTTTATCCTAATATGAAACCGAAAAAATGGAATAAGAATATTATATCAAGGTAAGGCATTTTTGAAGGACCATTGAAAACTTTAATCAGTCCATTTCTGACTGTCCATTATATATGGACTATAATGCAAATTAAAATAAAAACACTCAAAATCGAGCTTCAAAATCTCAATGTAGATGCAGATACATTTTTGTTTAATGATACATGAGGGACGTGATAATCCTACATGTAGTTAAAACTTCAGTATATGGATCTGTTGTATGGGATACTCAATATGCAATTAATTCCGATAAAATCGAATCAGTGTAGAAGCAATTCTTACACTGACAGGTTTACATTGGCATAGGGATTTTGTGTTGCCTTCTTACACTAGCGATTTAAAAGTAATTCAATTGCCTACATTAAAAAGTACACGTACTTTGTTGAAGACTATGGTGGTCCTAAAAATATGAACTTTCGTTAAAGATTTTTTTTACAATTCACCATGGAAAACTCTGCCTATGGTGTCCAAATTATGAAATTCTGTCTTTTTGCTACTTTTTTACATAACTTTTATTATCTAAGTACAATTCAACACATGTGCTAGTCGACATATTTTTCATGCAAATATTTACTCATATATACAGATATAACGAACCATTTATTCGATCCCAAGTTTCAGTTATCATTTATTATAAATTAGTTATTATGAACTTGCTAGAAATATACTTAATACTTAACGACGGAAATTTTCAGACAAATTCATTTTTACGCTAACGCTGGCAACCTTTACAAATATGTCAGCTGTAATATCAGAATGTTGTCAAAAAAGGACACAAAACCTACCCGTTTCCAACGCAATACGTTTTTTGTTTGCCTTACCTTGGATATAACGAAGTTCTTCTATAACGAACTAATTAGCTTGGTCCCTACGAGTTCGCTATAACCGTTCTTGACTGCATAGTAAAAATAACAGATTATTTGCATATCTGTACAATGTAAATCGATTTTTTATTATAAAACAAATAAAAACGTCGTTTATACCCTCCATCACGTGGGTGCATTCAATATTCCTTAAGTCGACGAACTGTAGTTGGAAAACTTAATCGGTACTTTTTTAACTAATTGTTTATTCACGTGGAATCCGATATGCCAAATTATAGCCACTTCCATGAAGATATTCGGTTAAAAAAACTTTAACTTATATATACACCGCACAAATTTGTATATAACCAGAACTCTTTATACCAAATTACTGCCCCATCGATTGGAAAATGCTGTCTTAAAAATACCGAAAATGGGTTGGTACTGTTTGTCGTTTGGTACAAAAGTGTCGAAACATTGGGAAAAGTGCGATAAAAAGTTTTTTGTTTGCAAAAATACCTAGTTAATAAGCTGAAAATATCATAAAAAAAGAAAAAAAGATAATCTGAAAAAAAATATTTATAAAAATTGCTCCCAAATTGGTTGAAACACGTGCTCAAGCTCCTCGAAATACCCATTTTAAGGGTGTTATATGAGGACTTCCGTAAAAAGTGGGCCAATATTGATAATTTTTAGTAGGAAGATTTACTACCATACCACAACACAAAATAACGGATTACAACAAATTAAGTAGAAACGTGTACCAAAAACTATAAAAACACCCTCCGTTATATGGGGCTACCCGAAACATGAGCCAATATTGGTAATTCTTCGCAGGCTTCAGCTGATTCAGCTGAAAAACTTGTCTAACATTTTTATGGTCTTCCCTTAAAATTGGTATATCATTGAAACCTAATGATATACGCGGGGACCTAATGATATACGCGGATACCCATTTAAATGTGAATATTTAAATGTTTTACAAACGGAATGACACACTTAATGTGGTGGAGTGTATAAAAATGTATTCATAAAATTTCCAAAAATTTGCTGCACAATTATCTTACTAATAACAAATCTCTGCTAAAAACGTCCAAACAGGATAACGACACAATGAAAACATAAATGTTCTTTACGAAATCTGTGGAAATGTAAACATTTTAACATTTTTTCGTGATTTGTTTCTTATTATTATTTGCTCCACTATTTCGAATTGGCACGAACCATCAAAATCCACACAACCGTTCTGGAGTTATAAGCAGTGTAACTAACGTCTTTTCTTTGTTTATATAGATTATTTCGTAACATCTATATTTCCAATTGCACACAACACAACTTCTCACCTAAATTTATAGTTTCCGGTGCCATCGTTGTCATTCTCCAACTCCACAATTTGTACATCTTGTTGAGGGGCACCCAGAACTGTAGAGAAAGCCACGCTGATCGCGAGTATTAATACAGCTTTCATGTCGATTATATAAAATCCGAAATTGCAATTAGAATAGATGACCGCTTAATACTTTTTGTTTTATAGATTTCAGTAATCCGAGTTAATGTTGTTCTTCGCAGACGATGACTGACAGCGTCTTTGTCAGCCATTCCACTTTTATATGGCAAAATAGTCGCTGTTTTTTTTTTTGTTAAAGGGAAAATCAAGTTTTGAGACAAAGTTTTGCGCATCGCTTAATTACAAATGCACCAACAGATTACATAGCATTTCAATTGAGACGTGTAATGAATTCCACTACATTCAACGAAAAGATAGATTCACATGTCAGCAACCGACTGGGAAGATCATCAAATTCAATTTTAAACAGACACTATGTTGTATTGGCTGGCGGTGGCTACAACATTGAAGACGGAGATAGGTGACGATGCAATAAAGCGATAACTTCTAAAACATGCCAAACGCTCATGCTGCTATTCTTTATTTGCTGTTTAGCAATGTACTTAAGAAAATTGTAAAGGGCTTTTGGTTTGATGGTATTCAAATTTGATAACTTGTGTAACTACTATTTTTAGCAAAATACAGCAGATAGATACTCTAACCATAGTATAAGTTTTAAATTTTCCAATTTTATAGTTTGAAGAACAATAATCTCTCTTACTCTCACAAAGAACTTTGTTTATAAAAGCAAGAGGGTTTTGCAATTGATTTTCAGATACTTTTTACTCGTCGTGGGGTAGAAAAAAATACTTTCAGCTGATGCTGTGGTTATCGTTAAAAAGATTTGTAACAATATATTTATATTTGGGAATATATTTTCGACACATACTACAATCGCAATATTTTTCATAAAATTGCATGATTTCTTTAAAATCTTTACATTCAAATTTTATAATTCTCGATAATGTTTTAATATATTTTTTTAATTCTTCAGAATTCTGCTTGTCATATTTACAATTAGTTCATCCAAACATTGGACAAATAATGTAGTTCTATAAAAATGTTCAGAGTTCAAACACAATACATTTGTCCTGTACTTTTGCGTACCAACCCTTTTACTTCTTAGAAATAAATCCAAATTAAATCTTACAATTGCCCCCTATTATATTATATCTTCGATAGATTCATTAAATATATTTGCACGCAATCACGCTGCTCAACCCATCCTATTACACAATATGTAGTCGTTTGAAAGATTTATTTCCTTCTCGAAATATTCTACATAAAGTAGCAGACCTTTTTGGAGATTTTTAAAAGAATCAGCAAATTTCTTATATTGTATACAATATGCTCTATAATCTTCCAAGTTGCATTTAAATAATAAATGTGAGAGGTACAACGAATATATACCGCATAAGGGAATTTTGATTTAATAATGTCCTACACTCCATTATAATTGTCTGACATGTTAGACGTGTCATCATATCCTTGATCTCTCAAAAATGTTGGATCCAAACCCAACCTGATTATTGTGTTTATTATGACAATCGATAATTATTTTCTTTTTAATCATTGTACCTCTACGTAGCAAAGGAAACATTCTTTGATTTTCTTAGATACTTTGTCCAAAAATTTCCTATTTATTGATGACTGCTCTTTTCCGGACTGAATACTGATGTATTAACGTTGTCTAAAATTACTATTTTTTTACGAGCGCCTAGAAACAGCATATGATCGTTGCCCTGGCCATGACATTAACCCTTTCAGTGTCAAATAAAATTTTTGTCGGAATAAAAATCTAAAATTTTGTACTTAAAATCATATGAAGGCATAGAGTTTGGAAAAACGGCAATTTTCATTTTAACCCTCGGACAGTTTTGTCTGTTTTTCAGCAAAGACAAAACATCAATGTTAACGGTACATAGGATAACCGAAAAATTGCAAAGAAAGAGAGAATTTTTAAATGTCGAATATATTCGACAAAAACACCGAAAGGGTTAAAATTCTGCTAGGAGATTTTAATGCAAAAATCGGAAGGGAAAATATCTTTGGGCCCGCTGTCGGAAAATTCAGAAATGAAGAAACATCAGACAACGACATTAGGTTGATTGACTTCGCGGCAGTAAAAAACATGGTAGTTAGCAGCACCAGATTCAAGCATCTCGATATACACAAGGCCACTTGGATTTCTCCCTATCGAACAACGAGAAATCAAATCGATCATGTTGTGATAGACGTGTTTTAGACATCCGATCGATTAACTTGTGGCAGCCAAGGTACGCACCCGTCTTAATGTAGCAGCAAAGGTGGGATCTAATGTAACACGGAAATTTGACGTCGAATAGCTGCAAACACAACAGATAGCAGAAGCTTACTCCGCTCAACTTACCCAACTACTTGACGAAAGCACCCCTTGTCCCGATAATAATATAGAAGCACAATGGCAGAGAATTGCCCACTTCCTACAAACTGCAACAAAAGCAACACTTGGGTACCAAAGACCACCATCAAGAAATCCGTGGTACGATCAGGAGTGTCGTAATGCTACTGATATGAAAAACGTAGCGTATAGGGCAACCCTGCAGACAGTAGCAACACGTAATGCAATGGAGAACGATCGGGATAAAACGAGAGAGGAGAAACGTATTTTCAGAAAAAAGAAGAAAGATCAAGAAAAACGTGAGCGTGAGCAAATCGATCCTGTACATGTGTCAGAATGAAGTCCGAAAATTCTACCAACGGGTAAAACACCAAACCGAAGGCTTTGGTGCAGGCACATCCTCCTGCTGAGGATCTGGAAGGAGCATTTTGAAAAACTTCTGGTATCAAATAGTATCAGTGAATTGTATACCCCAGAACAAATAATAGATGACGGTATAGAGTGTATACCACCTAGCCAAGATCGGCTGAAGAATAATAAAGCAGCAGGTGCCGATGGGTTACAAGTCGAACTATTCAAGACTGGTGGTCAGATGCTGGTAAGGAGCATGCACCAGCTGATTAGTAAAATTTGGCTGCTGCCCATATTTTGGAACATCAGCATCCTGAGTCTCGTGCACAAAAAAGGAGACAGCACGATATGTGCCAACTATAGAGGAATAAGTCTCCTTCCCATCGCATATAGAGTGCTATCCAGCGTACTGTGTGAACGGCTGAAGCCAATGGTCAATGATATTATTGGACCATACTAATGTGGCTTCAGACCTGGCAAATCCACCATTGACCAGATTTTAACTCTGCGCCAAATTCTTGAAAAAAAAACCGAAAAACATATCGACACATTCCACCTATTCGTCGACTATAAAGCCGCATTCGACAGTCCTATCCGTTCAGAGGTGTATAAAGCCATGTCTGCGTTTGGCATTCCTGCAAGATTAATTCGGCTATGCAGGATAACTTTAACTGGCACAAGATCAGCAGTTAAAGTCGGAAAGGACCTCTCGGAGCCCTTTAATACCGAACGAGGATTCAGACAAGGTGATAGTTTGTCGTGTGACATTATTAACATCCTGCTGCGAGAGGCAAAAGTGAACAGGCTCTGTACACCAAACAACACATGTTACTCGCCTACGCCGATGATATCGACATAATGGTTCGAACATTGAGAGCGGTAACAGCCACCTTTGAACAAATTGAGAAGGAGTCTGCCAAAGTGGGTCTGACAGTAAACGGCGAGAAGACCAAGCTGATGGTATCAACGCGCAGACATCCAGTAGACTCGGGCCAACTGTGGCCCGAAAGATCTGCGAAAGGCCGATCTGCGTTGACGGTGAATATCACCGTCGAATGAACCATGAATTCAAAAAACGTTTTGTTTTAATTAAAAAAATAATTTATTTTATTTTCAGATATCTTCATGATTCTATTTGTTTTTCGCGACTATTAACAGTGAATAAAATGCATTCGATTGACACGCGTTGCTGCTGATTAGAACACATATGAATACAAGTTGACAACGTTCGTTGTCATATTTTGAAATTTGACAAAATCCGTTGTCACATTCTAAAATTTGACAAGGTATCGTGATCAAATACTTTGTATTCTAAACGCCTTTTGACAAATTGACAGCAAGCGTTGTCAAAACAGAAGTGACAACGCATGATGAACCAGTAAGGAAAGTAGTAAAGTCGGACGGGGCCGACTATATGATACCCTTCACCACTTTGAGTATATTCAACAGATGAATCCTAACAGACGTCGCATTTTTAAAGGATCAGTAAAATGAATTTGGAACCATAAACACGTCATTCTGCAACCGATACTAAATTAGAAGCTATATCTAAATCTGAACCGATTTCAGGAAACTTAACACACATCTAGACCTAATTCATTACGCTGTGCCAAATTTAGTGCAAACCGAAAGATATTAAGGAACTTTGGTGCACCATTTACATTAAATCGGACGAAAATGTATATGGGAGCTATATCTAAATCCGAACCGATTTTCAGGAAACTTAACATACATCATTCTAGACCTAATTCATTACGCTGAGCTAAATTTAGTGCAAATCGAGAGATATATAGGGACTTTTGTGCACACTTTACCTTAAATCGGACGAAAATATATATGAGATATATATCTAAATCTAAACCGATTTTCAGGAAACTTAACACACATCATTCTACAGATAATTCATTACGCTGTGCCAAATTTCGTGCAAATCGAAAGATATATAGGGACTTTGGTGCGCAATTTACATTTAATCGGACGAAAATATATATGGGAGCTATATATAAATCTGAACCAATTTTCAGGAAACTTAACACACATCATTCTAGACCTAATTTGTTACGCTGTGCCAATTTTCGTGCTTAAATCGCATAGGCATATTCTCAAAAGTAACCATGTGTCTATGTCGTTTCCTTTTGCCTGTTACAAACATATGCACAGAGACATAATACCCTGTACCACAGTGTGGTGAAGAGTATAAAAAGAATTTGGTTCTAGAACCTCAAAATACCGAAAATTGAGGGGTACCCTTATATGGGGGCTACCAGAAAAAATTGACCAATATTTATAATTTATAGTGGAGAAATTTGCTATCTAATAAGAACTCGATGTACTAAATTACAGTCAATTC